CACGTCGGACAAAACGCTTGCTAGGAATAAAGGGTCCTTTCTACTTTCTATCTTAGAAAGTAAATCTAAAATTCGCTGAGAAATATTTATTATAAAAGAAGTTAGTATGAATTTACAGCAAGTTGCCTTTTGATTCAATATTTATTTTTTACGGTGAGATTGGAGATATTTTTCTCTGAGATTGAATATTATTTTAGAGAAGGGTTGGGGTGGTTGAGGAGAGTGGTGGTGGTGGTAGAAGAGAAGTTGTTGGAATGAATTCCCGTAGTTTTGAGCTTCTATTTATACTCAATTAGGGAAATCACGCCACTTTCGTATCAAATGAGAAGTTTCTTTTAACTTCGTATTCTTTATTCGTACATTCGTATTTTACGAGAAGAAGGTTTCGTATGCTCGTACTTTACGAGAGGAATCGTCATTATTCGTATTGAATGAGAATAGTCGTTTCAATTCTCATGCTTAAAACGTTATACGAATTATTCCAATAGCATTTCCCTTCCTTTTGCAAGGGAATAAAAACATATTTCTTTGGTGGTGGCGGCGGCGTCACATTTTGTGAACGCAATAAAATAATTCATGTTTCTGTTTCTATTTGAAATCAGAACATATCCATCCTCCTATTTGGAGAAGGAAAAAAACTAAAACTTTCATTTTTATTACTTCCACTTGAATAGTGGGGTAATTGTTGATCGATCGAAGCTTTTTCTTTCAATCTCATAAAGTTTTGTTGGTATTACGGGTAGCAGATGTTTTTGAACAAAAGCTTTTTCTTTCAATCTCATAAAGTGGTTAGTAGTTTATTGGTATTACAGGTAGCAGATGTTTTAATCAACTGATACTTTGAGTCAGGCTTGAATAAATATAAATACATCAGTTACATTTATAAATCAAATAGAGTTTACACAACCAAGGGATTTAACTATAAAGTTAAATACATCAAAATTATTTGTTTCTCAAAAGTTTGAAGGTTAGTTTTATTCCTTAAACATTCTTTTTCCGAAGTCTCCTTTTCTTCCTGAAGTATGTGAAGTCTGTCCAAACGCGTAATAAGGGGAGGACTGGTTCATACAAAGGGGGTATTTTTTGTGTTTTTTGTTTTTATAAAAGTCAAAATTGTTGAAAGGAATTAATAGCTATACTACATAGCTATATAAAGCGAAAGAATAAATGTTTAAATAAAAGGATAAATTTCTTACAATTTTCCTTCCAACCGGGCTATAAGTTGTTGATTTTTTGTTTTTAAATTGTGGATATGCTTTTTCAGCTCCCGGATTTGGTGCGTTTCATGTATATGACTGCGCTGAATTTGCTCAGTATAGTCATCTAACTGGGGGGTTTGTAATTTTGCTGTCAGATATTTTGCTGGGACATAAATTTTTTGATATTCAAGAAGGGAATTATTTATGGAATACATTTTTTTTATATGGTGAAGGCTTCTAATTTAAAACGATTGATTAATGGATTCAAAGCATATTTGAGATCCATATCGAAGCCAGGATTGCTTTTAGAATTAATGTATCGTTCCCTTTCTAACTGAATATGTAATTTAGTGTTTAATTCAGTGGGGTGCAAGGGCTGTCGCCTAATGGTCATTGGACAATGAGAAGTTGATACCGGCGTATTTGCCGTGAGTATCTTATATGATCTTACAATCTGGGTCCGTTTTTTAATTTTAGAATTCGAGGGAACCAGGGGTATTTTAAAATCAGGGGGTGAAATTTTTAGGGGTGGTGGCTGTGATGCTGTAGTTATCGGGACAGCTGAACTGGTTTGAAGTAGTGGCTCAACGAAGGATCGTGTTGAGGTCGGCTTTGCAGTGGGTGTTGTAGTAGTAGAAACAGTTGGTTGTTGAGTGAGTGCTGAAATCTGCGAGTCCAGTGGATCGGTTGGTGGCAGAAGTGAGAGGAGATCCTCGAAATCTCTCAAGTCGTCATCAAGTGTTGCGTCCATAGTTGAATCAGTTGGTATATCCTAGAACAGTAGAATTTTTTTTATTAGACTGGGTTTGTTGGGTGATCCAAGTTTTGAGTTCTTCTCTCAAAACTTGTTAATTGGATGTAAAGATACATGCGATCCTGGTTTATTTTATCAATTTCCTCTAAAAGAGGGGCTTGTATTTTCTGATCACATTCTTGTTCTATTTTTTCAGTTTGCTCATCTTGAGTGAAAATTGAGGTCACTATGGAAGTGAAAAGTATATTATATGAAGCGGCAAGTAATACTTTGCCAAAGTGTAGTGAGCGGCCGGTGATTTTGTGAATATGCATAGCCTTTATTATGAATACTAGGCAATCTAGAATAAATTTCACAAATAGAAAAGAAGCGAAGACTATTCCGCATTTTTCTAAATAGTATTGTACTTTCCCGAATATACGGGTGTATTCGTTTTTCCAAAAATTTGGAGAGATGAGATAGTCCAAATAGATTGTTTGGGAAGAGCCTAGTGGGCTGTATGAGTCCTTGAAAAGAATTTTTTTAGCATTTAGAAAGGACCTGGATACTTTTTGCAGTACTCCTTTCATCTCTGAATTATCGGAAATCATATTCCAGAATTTTTGCATTTGAGCATAAGTGTAGATTGAAGCGCCTTGGCTAGAGGCTAAAAAATGCTTAATCTTTTGAATTATCTCTTTTGGAGATATGGTCCTGTAACCCTTGTAATTTGAGGGGTTAATTCAATCCAGGACTTATCATCATCAACATCTAGTTGAAAGAGATTCGAATGTTTGTCGGAGCAGTCTTGTAGATCTGCCGACTGAAAAGTTTGTCGCGTAATTGGATCGACAAATTGAATATTTTCCTTATACATAATGGGAATACGATTATAGCATTCATCCATTAATTGCAAAGGTGAATAAAATTTTGGACAATGATAGAGCCAGGCAACATTGCCATTGGTCTCTAAGAACATAGAGCGGTTTTTGGTTAGAATATAGCCAGCCAAACGTGGGCTTTCAAGTGAAAGCATTAAAGTATTTAATATTGAGGAGCGTTCTAGCTCACATTGATTTTGCAGAAGGGCTAACTCGGCCGTTCTGAGCATGTAGAAGCTATAAAAAAGAATCTAGTCCAATTTGGTACCTATATGAGCTTCGTAGTCAATTTGATGACTTGAAAATTGGAGTGGCGGCGAATCATCACTTAATGTGAGAAAAGTAGAATTTGGTTGGCCGGCATTATGAATAGTTCCCGTTTCTGGGGTTGGTTTAACTTGGATTCCAGTATCCATATTGAAACCGTCAGTGTATGCAATAAAAAGTGAATCATATGAAGTTGGATACACTATTCTGGGATGACCACAAAGAGATTGCGGTTTATTCATCACCTGTAGCATAAATTTTTGAGAATCCCTTGGATGGGTAGAATGAATAGACGGGCTAGAATCGCCTTTAATTATATAGTATGATTCTTCGTTTTGAATCATTTTTGCCGGAAATCTGTTTAAAACAGTGAAAATGCAATTGTTGGATTCTTCCCAAGTATAAGCAAAAGCGTCTAAGGATGTTGTTTCACATCCATTTGTAGACACTGGACAGGGCAAAGGAATGTTTTGCCAATTATTGACTGTTCCATCTTTGAGGTTAACAGTCAGAGTTACATTTTGCATGTAAGTTTCAAAAGTGTCCAATTTAATCCAAGAACGGCCATCACATTCGTTATGATGTTTGCCGTCAACTTTGCCAGCATGGGCATTAGTTACTGTTTTAACATTAAATTTGAAAGGAATATTTCCAATACTAGCATAGCCTAGGTTAAGATAGCCTCTGTCGGCGGCCGATTTACATTGATCGGCAGATAAATGGAGATCAGTAGTGATCATATTTTGTCGAGCGTCGATACCACTCGAATCAAAAGAATCGCAGAACCAACGCATTGATTGGTGTTTGATTCGACACATTGTCGCATTTACTTTTGTGCGATAATGTCTCTGATATAGAGTAACATAAGCATGGGCTACTTTAATATTTTCTGGTTGGACTTTGCAAGGTGCTACTTTATTTAGAGAGAACATTTTGTTAGAAGTCATTAGTTGACAATCATAATGAGCAACCCGAAGATTATTTGCAGTATTTGCATATAATTGTTCTTTCGGATCAAATGCTGAGGTTTGATTCGAAAGTATTATTAGAGTTAAAAGACCAACCAAATAAATTTTTTGCAAAATTATTTTTTGGTGGTGAATGATAGCAAAAGAATTTTTAAAAGTACTCACTTTAAGCATTTCCTCGAGAGTGGTTAGAACAGGATCTTGGTCCATTAGTTCACCTTCCTCTATTTCACTATATGGATTTGTCATTTGGTGGATTTTTGTGATGGGAAATCTGAATTAGATTTCAATTTTTGTTGAGGAATTCAGCAGATTTTATTTTTTGGAGAGAGAGAAGGTTTTGAATGGAAGATGTGGAATTGAGCAAGAATGAAAAAAACTGTATATCAGTTAATTTTTAAAGGCTGTTTTTGCTTTTTTGCAAATCTAAGCTCTGATTGGCCGTTGTTATTCGGCGTCTTTCGGAAGTGACTCTTTTTAAGTCGTAATTCATTCGCCATTCGTTTTGTGGTTTTTTTACTCTGGGGTAATGTCGTGGTTTTTCCACTTAGTTTTGATTTGTTGAGATCTAACAGTGGAATGATAATCATTCGTTTATGCTGATGTTAATTTTAACAACTGCATTCCCCTTCCTTATTGGAGGAGGAAAATGAAAAAACATCTCTTCATAAAAGAGGACTAAAAGCAACATCATTTGTTTGCTTTCCGTTTAAACTTCATCTGTTATCACAGTATTTTGTAAAAAAAAATTTGCTTTCTTAAAAAAAATGAGTTATATCGAGCCTGAAGACAATCTGGTGGACTTCCCCGAGAAGTTTTTGAACTTGCGGGATGAGTTAGATTTCACACACGAAGCCTTGCTGGAGGACAAGGAAGTTGAGAGAAGGGTGGAAATCTACGATGGTTTAGTCGAAAAGGGTGCAAATCTGACGCCCATGGAATTCATGATATTCATGGACCGGAGTTACATCTTCAAGTATTCGGTCCTGAATACCGATGAACTGTTTGAGCTGGGCTCAATACAAAGTAGGTGCTTCGCGAAGAAACTTCGGAGCCCATGGAGTGGAAACCATGTGGTTTCCCAAGAGACAATGGACTTTTTGTCCTTATTCTTTGGAGAGGATGTAAGTTTGTTTTATAATACACCCAATTTTAAAAATAATAAAAAAATTTTTTTATTCAAGTGGCATGGCAACATAGAAATACTATATAAATTTGTTTTAGTTTCAAGAAGAATTCTTCAAAAAGCCAGTGGCGGAGGCAGAGTTTAGACGAAAAATAGAGCTTGATATTATGTTGGAGGAGATATATCAAGCTTGGTGGCGGCCTTACTCAGCGCTACAGTTTGCAGTGAGGAGCCTGAGTAGGGCCGCGGAAAACTCGTTGGAAAAGATGGCGGCAGCAAAACTAGTGAAATCGTACACAGATATTAAATCTTGTATTTATAAAAGTTATTTTTAAATTTATTTGTTAACATGTTATTTTTGGTGTTTTGTGTTTTTTATTACAAACGAAATATTTATAAAGTAAAAAAAAAGGAAAAAAAGAAAAGGCCAATAAAAAGAATTAAAAAAAATATTATGTTGGCCAAATAAATGGTTTAGTGTTTTTATTTCTTTTTAAATATGCCAATTATACTAGATGGAATCGTAGTTCCATAAAAGTTTGTAGGACGATTTGTCCGCCTAGGTTTTTTGGATTCAGAAAGTGATCCAGGTGCGGATCGAGTGTTCTCATAGAAGCTTTCCTGAGAGCTATGAGGGATATTTTTTCGATCAGTAAAGCTTTCTGATGATTCAGATAAACGAGGGATATCAGGAGGACGGGGAGTATTATATTGTGTTGTTATATTTTGGTGGCGGCGGCCAAAGTCATTTGCGAGACTAGTATTAGGACTTATACTGCGGCTAGGTAGGCGGCGGTGGCCATAACTACTAGATTGACTAGTTGAAGGATTAGGGGTTTTTATCAGCAGGATAGGGGGTCGAACTTCGAATAGGTCTAAGATTTTGGTCAATCGCAGTCGCATCGAACAAAGTTCTTAGATGCATGGTTTCTCTGCCTGAATCTAAATAGTGTTCATGAACAATGGTTTTATTTTGATCCTCATTTGTAGGGGTATGATCAGTCATTTGCTGATAACCATTGTTGACTACTGGCCAAAACTGGTATTGTAGATTTTCAACCTGTTTAGGTTTATTGAAAGAGTCGATTTGATGATTTGTTATATGATCATAAAAATCACTTGAAAATAAATCACTAGAGTACTCTTGTAGTAGCTTGGGCATTTGTTGTTCTTTAGGAAAGTATTCAACAATATGATTGCGGTGGACAATCTTTTTTTCGTTAGTGAAATCATTTTGAATTCCGTATGTTACTTCCGTGATTTTTTCAATTACGGTGTAAGGTCCAGATCTCAAATTCAAAAGCTTTTGACTTTTCAATAGTGGTTTGGATCTGTTTTCTAGTAACACTTTTGTGCCTTCTTTTATAGGCCGTCCTAATTTAAATTGATTTCGGAACATGTGGGCCTTATTAGTGATGCGGCGGCAATGGGTATAGGTGTTACTATAAATCAACTTAAAATCATTTTCCCTTTTTAGTATTTCGGCGGAAATTTGATTTTTTAGAAATCTATCTATGGTCTCATTGTTTGACTTATGCTTGCATGATTTTCGAGACCAGCGCAAAATTTAGAGGTACATCTTTTGTTTTGGTCGCGGTAGAGGCCTAATTTAAGGCTAAGGGGAACCTGAGGTTTTATGCCAAAGACAATCTCATATGGAGTGTAACCTGTACTTGAATTAATGGCGGTGTTATGTGCAAAAGCAAATTTATTTGTTAATTCAGACCAGTTTGAGCCTGAGGTACTCAAGAAATGTCGAAAGTACTGGGTTAAATGTTTATTCTGGACTTCAACTTTTCCGTTAGTCCAAGGCGAGTAAGTAGTTCTTGGCCTCAGGGTTATTCCCAATTCAGAGGACCAATGAGCAAAGTCATTACTCATGAATGCACTTCCATTATCATGAATAATTTGTTGTGGAATACCAAATGTTGTGATGTATTTCTCTAAGAGCTTAATAGTTTCCTTAGAGTCTGCATGGGTGAATGGATATACTTGAAGATATCTAGAGAAGGCATCTATCACAACTAAGCAAAAGTTTTTGCCGTGACTTGATGGTCTAAGTGGACCTTTATGATCAATGTGGATCGTTTTCATTGGGATTGTTTCTAATTGTCCCCATTGTTGTAATGGAGCTTCATTCAGGTCTTTTCGTTTAGGTTTATTTTTCTGACATTCTAGGCAATCATGAAGAAGCATGTTGACCCATTTATAGAGTCCGGGCCAATAGAAATATCTTTTGATTATTTCCAAAGTTTTTGTTTCGCCGTGATGACCGCTAAGAGGATGCTTATGAGCTAACTCAAAGCAGTTTAGCACTAGGGAGATGGGTAAGCAAATTTTTGGACTCTTAGTATAGTCATCATTATATTCATTAATACATAGAAGATCATGTTGGTCTTCAATGAATAATAATTCGAACTGCCTGATAATTCTTCACGATAAGGATTTTTTTTGTTTCTTTCTGGCTTTTCGTTTTGCTTTATGCAATTTTTGATATCTATGATTACAGTATCGTTACACTGCTCTTGCATAATTGTTTCAACGTCTAAATTTGCTTCTTTAGCAAAGTCGGTCATTTTTGCTATCAGTTCAAGAGAATCTGATTTATTCTCTTCAGATTGGAGACTTAGGGGTTCAATCAACTTCAAAGATCTTGTTTTGGTTGCAAAATCATTTTTTGCTTTAACCAGGTCGTTGAGAAGGTTGTTCTCAACATTGCCTTCATATAAGTCAAGCCATTCTGAATTTTCCAAAGGATCATCAAGTGCAGATACTTCATCTGGAATTTCTTCATAAATGTTTTCATTATTTATATCTGGTATAGATAGTCGTTTGATTTGGTTAATTTGTTTGCCAAATCGGAAGAATTCTGTTATATTTTGAATCGCACTACAAGATTCTTCAAAATGTTCTGGAGCATCTTCAATGCTGAAGTCTCCTCTGTCACTTATGTTGAATAATTTCTTTTTTCCGCCTTGCACTTGAGCAATGACTGGATGGCAATCATTTTGAAATATGTTATCATCTTTGTGGAGTACTGAATAACACATTTGTTCTCCATTGTCTAGGATGAACTTTATATCATTTGGAATGGTTTTGTGTTCTAGTTGATATCTTTTGATATCAGCGATGGGTACATTTCGGCTCAATAAGTCAGGAAAGGCTAGGTTTGAACCTGGGGTATAGATAATTTTCAAATTGTTGAATTTTGTCAATACGACTTGATATTTGAAAAATCTATGAGAAAGTTGTCCTTTTCTGGACCATAAGAAGAGAATAGGTCTGTGGTCGCAATATAGGTATAGAGGAAAGGGTGAACCTATAATGTAGAATTCATAGGTTTGCGAAGCAGATATTATTCCACATAATTCACGATGTTGAGTAGACATTTTCTGCTCAGCTTTATCAAAGACTCTAGAATTGGCAGAAACAATTCTTTTCCCTTTAGGGAAGTCTTGGATGAGTATACATCCGGTTCCTACATTTGAGGAGTCGGCGTGAATGTGGAATGGGTAGTTTACATCAGGTATGGCATTTGAAATATCATGACAGAATTTGTCTTTCAGTTTTTTAAAAACTTCTTCATGGCATGGTAGCCATTGAAACTTATCACTACTGTTTGCCAGTTCATATAGACATTTTGCGTCCACATGAAAATTGATGATGTATGTGCTGTAGAATCCCATGACACCTAATACTCCTAGAACTTCTGTTTTTGATTCAGGGGATTTCAATTTTTTTATGTCATCAATTCGTGAAGCGATTGGGGAAAGACCATCTTTAGAGACAACGTGGACTAGAAATTTAACTTTTCTTAGGAAGAAAAAAGTTTTGTCAGGGGCAGCTTTTAAGTTGGCCTTCCGTAAAAGAGAATGATATTCTCGAATTGTGTCAAGCATTTCATTTTTACTTTGACTCTGTAACAGAGTGTCGTCTATGTAAGTAATTGCTTTTTTTTCTTTAATGGGGGGTCCGAAGGCATATCTCATTAGTTTACTGAAGAAATTTGGAAGTAGTTTCAAGCCATAGAAACCAACTTGGTAGGTATATTGTCTACCTCCTACAATAAAGCTTGTTAATTTCTGAGCCTCATCTGTTAGAGGTACTTGATGGTAGGCGCAAGAGAGATCACTACTTGTGAAGTATGATCCGTTTATTTGGGTCATGAGAACTTGTAGTGGTTCTAATGGCCAACTACAATTGCTAGTATCTGTGATTGAGTTTAGATACCTAGCATCCAAGACCAACTTAACGTAGTCTTTTTTTGGAAGAATGATGACTGGATTTACGAACCATGAGTTCATATCATCTTTTTCATTTAGTTCTCTTACTATGCCTGCTTGGATTAATTCATCCATTAACTTGTCCAATTTATCTCTTAGATGGACTGGGATTTTACTCGGTCGTTGTTTTTTGAACGTTGCGTCCTTTTTAAGTGGTATATGGAATTTATGTTTTGTTTTTCCAATATCATATTTGTGATGAGAATGAACATCTTGATCCTCTATCAGCATTTGAATTAGATCTGCAAATTCATCATCCGATATATCACTTTGTGTGAAATCGAAGTCAGATAAAAATTTAATAGTAGTTTCGATTTTTTCCAAAGTACTACTATTGTCCTTATCAATTGAGGAGTATTGGGTAAACGTTTCGTTGACTAGAAAGGCAATTAGCCGATCATTATGTTCTTTGTTTCGGTACTTTTTAAAATGTTTTTTCAGGGGAGGCCTACAAAGGTTCTTTGCATCATTAGAAAAGTCAGTTGCTATTTCGTTTTCATTTTTGCATACTTTGACTATATCTGAACCAATTTGTTCAAATATTTCTGATACATTCTCTGTATCAAACACTTCAAGGGCAGGCATGTCCTTGATTTCTTGTCCTGAAACATAGACAAATATAGTAATTCCAGAATGTTGGAATACATCGACAATGATTTTGGAAACTTCTTCCCAATTCATTTTATTTAAGCCACAAGCAATTTTGGGCATTGCGATAGATCAAATGTTATTTGCTATAGCATGATCTTTCATTTCGGACAAGGTATTGAATATAGCGTCGTAAGTGGGTTTCTGAAAGTACCTCTGTTTGGTAATTAGGTTATATATGATTTGTCCAGATTTTGGATCAGTGAAGATGAGA